TCAGTGGTAGAGCGATTGTTTTGCATACATGAGGCCCTGGGTTCGATTCCTCAGCATCACATAAGCAAAAAGAAAAAACCCGGAAGTGGCTCTGTGGCTCAAGTGGTAGAACACTAGCCTAATGAGGGAAGGAAACTATTCAGCCTATGTTTCTTTGGGTCTGGGGAACACTGTAAGATTGCTACTGACACTCTCATCCTACCATGTAAATATGCTTGAAGTTTAGGTCTTCTCTACCTGACCTGTGAACTCAAAGAATGAACTTCTGTTGTATTCTGGCAATTAACCCTTATTCCTCTTTCTTTTTTTGCATTAATTACACTCTAGTTCATTTTTAAATTTATTTGAAGTTAGCTAGCTTGATTTATAGGTGCTTTGTCTAAGTTGCACCCTCTTGTCTCTTAGTAGTATTTTTCTGCTAATTTTGATTGCAATCTTCCAGGTGTGCTATGTTCCCTCAAGAGTTTAAATGAGTGTTTGCATCCATCAACAATAAGCCAGATGATCTCATTGTTATTAAATGGAGAAAGCAAGAGCCTGATTTCATGACTTAGTTCCATATCGAGAGTAAAGGCAAGCCAGACACTGTGGCAACGGAAAGTGATGGTAATGTTGGAGTTTTGGTCAATGGTCTATAAAGGACAACCTGATTTAATTAGTCCACTATCTGCCACTATTACAAAATATCCAATGTGTGTGTGTGTGTGTATACATATAAAGAAAGATGTGTTTAGCTCATTGTTTTGGAGACTTAAAGATGTGGTAGCTGCCTCTGCTCAGCTCTAATAAGATTCCCTTTTGTCCAAGTACATCATGGCAGGGAAGTAAGAAGGAAAATGCAAGGTGAAAAGGCCAAGCATAGCAAGTGGACATGATCTACATCAATAAACTCTCAAGACAGCTATCCAGAATCTCATAAAACTATGTTAAGTGCTTTAGTGGGCAGATTCCCCTTGACTTGATTAACTTCCATGAGACTCTTTATCTCTTAAATATTCCATCATATGACATTCAGGGGGCCAAGATTCCAGCACATGAAACTTTGGGCGACACACTCAAACTGTATCCAAACCTGAAAAATAACTGAACATGGGCTATAGATACTGCTCAAATGGTGGAGCATTTTCCTAGCAAGTAGAAGAACCTGATTTCAAAATACGTTAGTTAATTAAAGTTAATGTTAAAAAAGAAACACATAAATATATTAAGATACTGAAGTATGGAGGTCAGGTCTGGCCGGTGCCATATTGGCCACATGGTGGATGGTAGGGTCTGGCATCTTTTCTTTATGATGGGGGAAGATGAAGGCCCTGTCTCTCAGGTGATTGGTGAACCTGAATCCCTGGAGGCAGGGGCAGGCACTTGGTTGATAGCTTACTAACCTGTCAGTCCAGTGCCTGGGACTGGGAATTTCCTGTGACCCTACCCCCTGCCCTGATCCTCTTTAGGCCTAGAGGACCAGATGGGCACCATTACCTCATGCCACCTGTCTGCATGTTTGTGTTCTGTCTCTGTCTCCTGGTTCTTCTCCGGTCACGATGGTGTCCCACTTCAGCTCTCCATTGAAGCTAAATTAGTTTGTTGGTTTGTTCTTGTTCTTTCTTTCCTCTCTGGCCTTCATGGCCCTGTTTGCTGTGTTAGTTTATTTTTTGGTTGTAGGCCTTTGTAACAATTGGCTGCGTGCACACCACTAGTGCTGCAATATACTCCAAGATTCAACCTCTCAAAATGTAGCTTCTCAATACATGCGCAATAACAATATGTGTGCAAATAAAGGAGGTTTATTCATAAAGGAGCTAAAGAGTTAGACTGAAGTTTATAAACATTTGAATTCACCACAAGGGGGGAAATTGCCATTTCATTTTCATTTTCAGCTTGATTAAGAAGAACCTTGTTGGTTTCACCCAGTGAGGAAGATTGTTTTAGATACAAAGAGATATGATAGAAAAGAAAATGCCTTGTTTGGGAGAAATTAAGTATGGATAATTACTCAAGATACTATGAATATCAACACATATTTCTCCATTCATAACCATTTCTGATATCCCAAAGAAAGAATTTAAATGTGAATAGCATTTGTGTGACATCATTTTAGTAAGTTACTCCCATTTATTCTGCTTAAGAGAGCAAATTTCTTTGGTATTGAAGGGTGCATGCATTTAGTTCTGGAAAATCCAGTGAGGTACATAGGGATGAATATTGTTTGAAGGTTTCAACCTTGCCTTAAAGACTCCCTTCCCTTTGTTCTAAGAAATCATGAGCTGATGTTGAGAGCAAAAGCCCCAGCATGTCCTTTATGTGGAGGGATTTTTGACATCCCTAGTACTAAATGGGGAATAGCAATTCCAAAAATGTGCAGTATGCTGTATCTGTTGCTATGGTTGGTTTATACAGTCCACATTTCAGAAAAAATGAAATTATCAATTTCACTTGTTGTTTTTTCAAAATAATCTGTTTATATAAATTGAGGTTGTATATAAAATATTTTCTTTACAAAAAGGAATTTGAAAGGACACAGCTGTTTTTCCTAGATGCTTTCCACTTTACTTCCCTATAATATATTTAAATTGCATGATAAACTTTAGGTTGGAGGAAGAAATGCAAGCTAAACTTGTTTGTTCTCAGGATCTAAATTTACTTGTCTTAGTAATGTATCACATGCCAATAGATTGCAATACAAGAAGATTATAAACTGACGGTTAGATGTTAATAATGGTAACACAAAACATTAAGGCAAGTGACATTTACATAAGTATCTTGATCTTAATACATGTAATTTACATATGAAAATTTAATCACTATAGAGATAAACAGCTGCAATGTTTAATTAAACTCTCCACACAAAATCAGCCTGCAAGAAGTAGTTTGTCACTGCTAATTCATCACAATTCTCTTAAGTATTCTTTAAAATAAAAATGCAAAATAAATGACTCTTATTGATAATTTAACTTCTGCTTACTTTGTATTTTAATTGTATCATCAAAGCCTGTTGAGAATACGATAAAGATTCTAGGTTCATTTTCATTCTGATTAGAAGGCAAACATAAATATACAGAAAATAAATGTATTTGTTTATAAACTTAAAAGGGTCACCAGCAAAACAGCACAAATGATAGTTTAAGGAATTTTAATGCTGAACTAAGGGTAATGAAGAGATGTGACTATTCTTCTCAATGGGGCTCTTAAAGAATGTATTACAGACAAATTTATGCCAACATTAACAGGAAAAAAAGGGAGAAAAACCTGCTATGTTAGAATAAATACTATTTAAAAATCCTAACTGGATTTTGTGAGTAAGAAAACAACAACAGAAGAGATAGGTTAATGTATAAACTGTGTTAAAACATCTTTAGATTATAAGATACTTTAAAAGGCAGATTTTAATACTGTGTATCTTATTTGTATAAGCAAATATGTTTATTTGTTCATTCATTAAAAGATAAATGCATATTGTGCATTAAGGATAATGGCTTACATTAGGTAGAAGGTGACCTCGTCAGATATATTAACTTTCACTATGACATTCATTTTATACTCATAGTAAAGCGAAGGATTTCAAGTATTTAGGACAATGTTTGAAAACTCCATTTTTTTTGCATGTAAGTTCAGATGGTTGAATAGGAATATAATTAAAATTCACATCATTCATGCAAATAAAGATAATACTGAATAGGACTTGGAAAAGGGATAATTTATTTCCTAAATACATGATCTAAGGTATCTACTTCCAAGTTTCTATCACTTGACTATTCTAGAATATAAAGTTGTGATTTTAGTGATTTCCTCTCATTTTAGGGGCACACTACAAAGATCCTCAATGGATGCTCAAAGTCTTACATTTTTTCCAATAGATGTATAAGTTTAGGCAATGTGTTATAACACAATATCTGAGTGTGGTCTCTCTTCATGCAGGCTCAGTGCTTTCTGATACAACATATCACCTTCATCAGAGACCAGGTTTCCTGGGAGCTGGAGTAGGGATGGAGCTCACTTGTGCAAGACCCTGATTTTAATTCCCAGCACCACACACAAAACAAACACATTTTCTGTACGTCTTTCACTCACAAATGTAATGTATTTTTCCTTCTTACCTATGTACACTAGTCATATACAGCGACCATAACTTTTGACGCATGAGACCCAATAGAAAAACTGGCATGCTTTACTTTTTTGTGTGTGCACACATTTAGCTTTATTGCAACAAAGCAACTTGCACACTTTTAATGTTTAAAACTCAGGATCATCTTTCCTTTCCAGCGAAAACAAAAGAAAATTTAAAAAATAAATGAACAAAATTACAATAGAGAATGTCAATTCCAAATAAGATCCTACAGGGTCTGTTGATTCTCCTGTAGTGCCAGGGCTCAAGTCATCATTAGGAGAGAATTTTATTTTAAGTGTCATCTTAAACTGCAAGGATGTCTGTTAAACATCACAATTACACATGCCAAAGGAGAAGCCATGTTGTCAAAATGCCCACTTAACCCACCCAAACAACTCAAACCCACCCTTTGCTGACCTTCTAGAACCCCATTTTTTTTAAAGTTTATTTTTTTTTCTATTTTAAACAAGAGAAAGTAGACAGATACATGTTGGTAATGCTAAGTGTCCATATTCACATAGACACAGTGTAATCTCTGAGCCCAATATACAGAGGAAGGAGGAGAAAAGCTAGAATCTATGCACTAGTACACAGGGCCTGTTGCCTCCAGCAGAGCAAAGCAACCAGAGACCTGTCTTGTTTTCCACAGAGCAGGTGGCAGTGGTGGTGGTGTTGATTCCGTACGGTTTTTGTTGAGTCAGAAAGGGATAAAAATGAATTTAGAAAGTTGTATTCTGAGCAAGGTATTCCCCCCCAAATAAGTTGAGAACCGTGGTGTTTTGAGAAAAGAGACCTCAAGAACAGGGCAACTGAGCACAGAGGGGGAGAAGACAGCAACTTGCTCCCAGGAACTGGAGAAAATTAAGAAAAAAAAGTTGGAATCCATCAGTGTTTTCTATTAGTCATGTTCTTCATCCTCCTCTCCTTCTTCCCCTTCATCAGCATCTTCATCTTCTTCCCCTTTATCCTCATCCCCTTCTTCATCAATATCTTCCAAACGTTCCTCCTCTTCTTTATCATCATCATCCTCTTCCTCTTCTCCCTCCTCATCATCCATGTCGGGAACCAGGTAGAACTGCAATGGGTTTGGCCAGATGTCGTCTTTGATGACCTCTCCCAACTCGTCTGTACCAGCGTCTGAGTGGTCAGCGAACCACGTGAAGAAGCTCTCTGGTACCTCATGCTGCCGCTTCCTGCTGCCTTTATTCTTTGACTGGAGCGCTTTGTCAAATCCTTTCCAGACTTCCATTTGATTTCAGTGGACTTTGAAGATGGATCACCGCTCTCATTCAGATGAAATTCTTTGGAGAGAACTTTATTTTTAAAGTAAGGATTTTCATCAAAATAAAAATCTATTCTGCAACCTGATTTTATATCTACAAATTCTGTCACTTCAACTCTGGTCAGGTAATGCAGCGCCTCCTCCTCTTCCTCCCCAAGCAGTGCAGACACTTGTGGATGGTTGACAAATGTTGTTACCCCCAAATTTGGGATTTTGGCGATCAGTTCTGACCCCTTCTGAAAAAACGGTTGGCAGAGTTTATTATATTTCTCCTCACTGGCTTGTTCATTAAGTCTGTTTATTTCATTTTGTACTTCATCGATATGTTCAATTGCTTCTTGCTGTTCTTTTTCTCCCTTGGGCAAGCTGGGAGAGGAGGAGGCGTCCACCGGCTTCGGGGCCGGACTGCGCTGGAGAAGAAGCCAGAGGGGAGCCCTAAGCTGCGGACCCAAGGCAGGGAGCGAGAGGCGGGAGAGTGGCATGTTTTTCTTTTCCAGTCTTCACACTTTCACAGATAGAATATGATTTGTTACCATACATCTTCACAATGTATGGTTTATTTCTCTTCTTATTAATATATTTCTGTGTAATTCTAGAAACCAAGCGTATCTAAGTCAATATGCATGCACTTTGGAGTCATATTAAACAAAAATTAGTTTTAGCACAAATACTAGGATATCACAAACAAGACAGACATTACGTGATTAATGACAGGGGAATGTATACTGTAAGGTTACACTGTACAAAATATGGATTCTTATTCTGAGCATATGTCTGAAATTATGACTTACTTAGAACAACATCTTAACAAAAGGCTACAAATTTCCATCTAATAATATAGAGTACATGATTCTGGGTAACTATCTATGGGGAGGAATATGATGGATACTATTGTACTGTTATAAAAAGGAGATTTTCAATGTTCTCTCTCTCTCTCCTTTTTTTTTTGTAGGTCGTGTGGCCTGAACTCTGGGCCCAGGTGCTGTCCCTCAGCCCCTCAGCTCAAGGCTAGTGCTCTACTACTTGAGCTATAGCACCACTTCTGGCTTTTTCTGCTTATGTGGTGCTGAGGAATCAAATCCAGGGCACTCTACCACTGAACCACTTTCGGAGCCCTTTCTCTCTCTCTCTATCTCTCGCTCTCTCTTTAAATGCTAAGGACAGCAGGGTTACAGTTACATAAATCAGGCAAAGAGTTAATTTCCTTTTGGGCAGTATCACACATGCCCTTGCTCTCTTTCAGTTTTTCTCTCTTAACTTACCCACAAGTTGTACTGTTCATTTTCAACATGGATGAAAATTGTTTGTTTTATGTCAGATGATATGCTCCTATAGTCTTTCTGTTTTTCTTTCCTTCTCTGAAGTTTGAGGATAAAATTACCTGACTTTAATGAAAGACACAAGTCTAAAATCAAGTAGAGGTTTTTGAATTCATTGGAGATCTAAAGTAATTTATAAAGATTAAAAAAACTTGGAAAATGTAAACGGTAGCTTTACTTACTTATTTGCTAGGTACTATTGAATAGTCTGTGGCTAGACTGAACCCTATACCTACTACTTTTTTTTATTGTGAAAATACTGTACAGAGGGGTTACAATTACTTGGGCAAGATAATGAGTACATTTCTTATCAAGCATTGTAGCCTCCTCCTTTGTTTCCCCATCCCATCCCTTCCCATACTCCCCCTTCCCCCCCACCCAATCCTCCCGTCCCCTCCCCCCTCATCAATGTTGTAAAGTTCGTTTTCAACATAACAACTTGTACATCTCATTGTTGCAATGGGTCCACCTGTATCCCTAGTTAAACGATTTGTTTTTCCCCTTCCCCTCCACAAATTATACCGACATAAAATACAGTGAAAGCAGGGGTTATAGTGTGGGGGAGGGACATAAAAAGCAACAAAGAAATAATCTTATAAATGTGTTAGAAACAATCGCATGAAAGAAAAAAAAACATTTGAGTACATATCTTAAGGTTCATTTCCCTAACATCATCTTATCTGACCTTTTCTGCTTGACTCAGACATATACTAGATATTGCAAATAAGGGAAACCATGGGGCCTATGTTTCTTTGGGCCTGGCTTACTTCACTTAATATCATTTTTTCCAAGCCTTTGCATTTCCTAACAAATGGGGCAATGCCATTCTTTTTGATGGAGGCATAGAATTCCATTGTGTATATATACCACATTTTCTTGATCCATTCATCTACTGAGGGCCATCTGGGTTGGTTCCATATCTTAGTTATAGTAAATAGTGCTGCAATAAACATAGCCGTGCTGGTAGCTATAGTGTGGTCTTGTTTGTAAACATTTGGGTAAATGTCCAAAAGTGGGATTGCTGGGCCATAGGGGAGCTCTATGTGGAGTCTTTTGAGGAACCTCCATACTAGTTTCCAAAGTGGTTGAACAAGTTTACACTCCCACCAACAATGCAGTAAGGTTCCCTTCTGTCCACATCCCCTCCAGCATCTATTGTTATTAGAGTTCTTGATTATAGCCATTCTAACTGGAGTGAGGTGGTATCTCAATGTTGTTTTGATTTGCATTTCTTTTATGGCTAGGAAGGTTGAGCATTTCTTCATGTATCTATTGTCCATCCTTCTTTCCTCTTCAGAGAAGTTTCTCTTTAAGTCTTTCGCCCACTTATTTATTGGGAAGTTGTTTCTTTGAGGATTTGTTGTTGGGGGATTTAATTTTTTGAGTTCCAAGTATATTTTAGATATGAGACCCTTGTCCATTGTATGGCTAGTGAAGATATTCTCCCAATCTGTAGACTTTCTATTGATCTTGCTAGCTATATCCTTTGCCATGCAGAAGCTCTGCAACTTCATGCAATCCCATTTGTCCAACATTTCTTTGATTTGTTGTGTTTCTGGGTCTCTATTAAGAAAATTTCAGCCTGTGCCAAAGAGACCTAGGGTTTCTCCTATTCCATACTGTAATGTTTTCAGATTGTCTGCTTTGAGTATGAGGTCTTTGATCCATTTGGAGTTGATTCTGGTGCAGGGTGATATATAAGGATCTAGCTTTAGTTTTCTACAAGTAGTTAACCAATTTTACCAGCACCATTTACTGAAGAGGCTGTCTTTATTCCATTCTATGTTTTTAGCTCCCTTGCCTCCTACTTTTTTTGTCCTCATCCATACACACTATTGGATCAGTAATAGTCTATGAGATGTTTCGTCAAAAGAAATACTTTTTAAATAAGTTTTGCATACATTAAAGAATATAAAATCACATTGCAAATTCTTGCATTCCTTAGGTAGCTTCCGCCTCCTTTTCTCTTGCATTTGGTTGAATCCATGTAAACATTCTATATTGTATATCAGATCACTGCTTCAGAGGAATGGCTACATCACTGGACAATTGCAATATCACTGTACCAATTGAAACAATTATAAATACTTTATGCTGTCTTTTCCCCATTGATTAAATGTAAGTCATGGGGAGAAGTCTTTTGTAAGAAATAGAGCTTATCTTACCTTCACTGTTCTGCACTAGTGAGCCAAGCATTACAGCTGCCCATGTTGTCAAAGTGCCATAAGAGAATTTAGAAGAAGAGGAGCCAATAATGTAGTCAGTCTCTGACATTTAAATAGATGTTTTTGCTGTTCTGTTAATTAATCATTAACTTTAGCCTTAAAAGTATATATTTCAATAGTAGAAGGAAAAATGTTCCCACCATCAACGCCGCGCTAAAGCAACCCTGTGGTTTTATAAATATATATCTCAGACTTAGAGAAAAGATGAATCCCACAGGACATCTCTCCTCTCCATCCATTTATGATGTCAGTACGAGTCTGATTAGCTGCTTACATTGGAAATTATAGTGGGTCAGTAAGATTAATAAAAGCCTTCTTTATATAGACATGTCCCCATTGCCTCTGTGCTTTCCCGGGAATTTGGTTTGTTTTCTGACCTCAAAAAGTAATGCATAAAGGAAGACTATACATCAAGAGAAGTTGAGATTGATAGTTCATCTACTGATGTTTTTGATATTGCTATTTAATAAGAGAGAAAAAGGTTAATGGAAAGGAACTTAACTTACTTTTGAATGGATATGTATATAGGGTCTAGTTTCTAACCTCAGTGAACTTGATGAAAAACATTTTGGTAGAACTGGTTGGACTGCAATTTTTCCTAAGTGGCAGAGTTCCATAAATTTCTCATTTTGTAATATTGAGTCATTCCCTGTTAAGGCACAGAAAAGGTATGAAACTGAATTAGGTTTCCTGACTCATCCATCATAGTGTTTTAGTGCTAGAGAAAGCCCTTGAGACCTAGTCCCGTGTTTCAAATTGTGTTCTGTGTCACTTCTGGAATCCCTGGAGTGAGCTTTCCAGTCAGTGCAGAGGGGGAAAGAGTACTCTAGTTTCTTATCTTTCTTACTTTTTGTCATATCATTTCATTTCTATGAATAGAAATAAAGACTTTGTTTGGTGGGGGGAAAGGTTTGCCAATCACTAATCTATGACTGCCACGTCCATTCTACAGTTGAGCAAGTTAAGTTCCAATGGATAAACTTTAATGAGCAAAAACCTGTGACTAATTCACAATAGAAATATTTCTAAAGCTAAAGGATAACTCCCAAGCCCTGATTTCAAGTCACAGTATTGGCACATAAACAAAAAGGAAGACATTAAAAATTCCTGGGCTGGGAAGATGGCTCAGTGGTAGAGCGCTTGCCTTGCATGCATGAGGCGCTGGGTTCGATTCCTCAGCACCACATAAGCAAAAAGAAAAAAGCCGGAAGTGGCGCTGTGGCTCCAGTGGTAGAATGCTAGCCTTGAGCTGAAGAACTGAGAGACAGTGCCCAGGCCCAGAGTTCAGGCTCCACGACCCGACCCAAAAAATACAATAAGATAAAAAATTCCTTATCACCCAATGCTGGGATAGTGGATCAGAAATCTATCTCTGAAGCTGAGGAGGAAAGGACAGGAGGAAATCTTGAGAGTAAGTGCTTCTCTCTTGGTTTTGAAGCCATGCTATTGCAATCAGTAGCAATGTCTATGTGCTCAGAACTATAAGTTAGGATTTTTAAAAATAAATTCCTCATAATGCACAGCAAAGAGGTGGAAAAATGAGCATGGGATTCTTCATCTCATAGAGACCATCTCTATTATTTTATGAAAATAAAATAATAAAAATGAGTGTGCAAATGTGTTATCAAACAATGAGTTTTACCATGAAAAAATGTTCCAAATTTGCTGCAATTTTCTCAGACAGCAAATGAATTTCAGCAGATAAAATTCTGTTATATTTTATATATTTATATATTTTTTGTAATTATATATTACATATTTATGTATATTCTGATATATTTTCCATATCTACTTAATACAGATGCCAGAGTAAGTGACAACTTTTCAAAGCAACTAGTAGTATCAAGAATTATTAGAACATGTTGGTATAATGGTCTTTCATGTCTTACAGCCTTTACTCGTATGACAGTTGTTACTACTGAAATAGAGTCACTAAGT